TAGGCAGATTTCTGCTATGGAATAACCCTTCTGTACACTGTGAATATATGTTGCTCTCATTGGTTGATAATAAAAGCTGCTTCAGCCTATAACAAGGTAGAATATAGTTAGGTGGGAAAGCCAAACTGAAGGGGAGAAAGAAAGATGGAGTCAGAGGTAAGTCAGCCAGCTGTCCAAAAAGCAAGATGCCAGCAGACTGGTAAAGCCATGGCTACGTGGCAATACATTGATTAACAGAAATGGGTTCATTTAAATGTAAGAGCTAGTTAGTAATTAGCCTGAAATATAGGTCAAGCATTTTGTAATTAATATTAAACCTCTGAGCGATTTTTGTTGTTGTTTTTTGAGACAGGGTTTTTCTGTAGCTTTTGGAGCCTGTCCTGGAACTACCTGGCCTCGAACTCATAGAGATCCGCCTGCCTTTGCCTCCCAAGTGCTCCGATTAAAGGCCTGCGCCACCACCAGCCCGATTTAAGTAATTATTTAAAAGCTGCTTCAGGGCAAGACGGGACAGAGAAACCTCCATTTGCAAATTTCTGTGCATTTGAGGCCAATCTGATCTACACAAAGAGCTCCAGGCTATTCAGAACCATATAGTAAAAAGAAAAAAAGAAGAAAAAATAGTATGTAAACTAGGCATGGTGCTGCATGCCTCTAACCTCAACACTGGGGAGGCAGAGGCAAAGGGATCTCTGTGAGTTGGAGGCCAGTCTGACCCTTGGGTTGATCAACAGAGACCCTAAAGAGGGGAGTGAGTGCTAATGTCAAGGGGGAATTAGGATTAACTGGTTCCTGGACTGAGAATTTAAAAGAAAAACCTTTCACATTGTTTCCAGGTAAATCTTCAGATACTGACTGCCATACTTTACAACCTCCATTATTAGAGCTCATTAATTAAACCTTTGTATTTATCCACTGTCTCCTGGTACCTCCAGGTGTAAACTGGGGTCTTATGCCTCTCCTCTGGTGGTGCCAGTTTCCCATAACAGAGACAGTGTCTGACCCAGAGGTCACATACCTCTGTCTCCTAAAGGTTAACTCAGTTCACATCTACTGTTTATTAAGGATGGTCAAGACATTACCCTTAGTTTACAGGGAGATGCTCTGGCCTTGTTATAAAACAGTCAGTTGTAAATAGCTAACGTGATGGAGATTTCCCAGGCATCCGAGAAAGTAATTCCTGTGAATGATTGATCTGTGATCTGCTGAGAAAGCTGCTGATAGTCTGTTCTCATTCTCCTAGACTTATAACTTTATATTTTTTTATTTCTACATTTTTATTTTTGGAATCTATATTTTTATTTTCTTATGCCTGGACTCTTCAAGCATATGTATATGAACATATACACACATATAGTAAATATTTTTATAAGACAATCAAGAGATACTACAAATTTTAATACTGGCTACTTCTGAGGATGAGATTATAAATGGGTTTATATTTTGTACTTTAAACACTATATATTTTAGGGCTGGAGAGATGACCCAACAGTTAAAAGCACTTACTGCTCTTACAAAGGAACTGGGTTTGATTCCCAGGACCCACATGGTGGTTCACAATCAACCATACCTCCAGTTCCAGGAAATCCAATGCCTTCTTCTGAACCCTGCTGGCACCAGGCATGGATATGATATATATACATACATGGAGGCAAAACACTCATACACAGAATATAATTTTTTTAATTTAAATTAATTTTTTGGGACAGGGTCTCTCTAATGTAGCCCTGGCTGTCCAGGAACTCATTGTGTACACCAGGATGGCTTCAAACTCACAGAGATACAACTGCCTCTGCCTCCCAAATTACTTATGTCATCAGACATAGAGAAGTCAAGCTGGTGCCCAACTAGAACTTCACTCCTATTAACTAGTATTTATAGTACTGGAAGTACTGTGCACACCACCGGAGGAGAAAGGCAATTATCACCCAGCTCCATAGCCTGTGACCTTCAACCGTGACCTGCCGGAAAGATACACTGGTGCAGCAGTGGCACAATTGTTATAGGAATAATCAACTTTCAGACTGAACTTAAGGCCCACTCCATGAGATGGGACCAATATCTGACAATACCTGGGTGACCAAGAACCTGAAACTAGACAGGTCACGGGCGGGGGCGGGGGAATCTACTACTATTATTCTGCCAAAGGAGCATAGCAATAAAATGGCTCCTGATGATATACTGATATAGCCACAGATCAGTGTCTTGCTCAAGCCACATCAGAGAAGCTTCCTGTTGCTGCAGACGGGAACTAACAGAGACAGTTGGGCAATATTCAGACTGAGAGGCTTTGGAGTACACCATCCTTAATGGGCTATCCTCATCAAACCACTTCTATCACAGTTCAGGGGTCTATCTGGAAGAGGAATAGGAAGATTGTATGTACTAGAAGGGTTAGATGACTCAAGGAAAGTGTCTTCCAGACGCAACAGGACCAATGCACATGGGAACTCACAGAGGCTGTGACACAAGTCCTGCACTTGCTAACTGCTGACAAAGGGAAGATCAGTTCTCACCAATGAGTGACACTGGGTACATCAACACTCCAGGGCAGGCACCATGCCCAGGAGGTGACAATTTTTGACTAATTGTTCTTTTGTCTGTTTGAATTTCATTTGAGTTTTTTTAGTGGGGGTGGGGATTATATTTCTTTTTTGTTTGTTTTTTTTAAATAAAGGGAGAAAAAGAATATAAGGTTGGATGGGTAGGGAGTTGAGAATATGGGAGGAACTGGGGGAGGGAAAAAGCATGATCAAATATTACATGAAAATATTTTTCAATAAGAAATATATTTCACCAAGAAGAAGGAGGAGGAGGGGAGGAAAAAGAAAATAAAAACTGATCTACCACCAATTGTTGGTAGCCAAAACCTGATTTTTTTTTTTAATCAGGATCTTAAATTCAGGGTTAACATGGTCTCAATAGGTGATGAAAGCAAAATGGTAGAGGGTGAGCACCTAGGCTGAAGGTCTCAGTCTAAAGCTGGGTATGGTGACTCACTCCTTTAATCCCACGGCTCCTAAAGCAGAAGCACACAGGTCTCTGAGCTGTCGGCCAGCATGGTCTACATAGCGAGTTCCAGGCCAGCCGATGCTACAGAGAACCTGTCTCAACAACACAGAGCGGCTGTTTCAGACACTGGCCTAACTGCACGTGTCTGCACTACCTGTCAGCACCTGGGAGGTTGGGGCAGGAGGATCACTTGACCTCAGGGGTTTGACACCAGCCTGAGCAGCATAGACCCTACCTTAAAAATGAAAAAAAAAAAACAATAAAAATTAATGTTGAGCTGCTGTTGACATACCTAAACCTAGCTATTGAACACACACCTGGAAAGTCTAAGGGACTTCCTAGGCCTCTGGAGCATAAATTTCAGGTCTCCAGCACACCATAAAGAAGTACCTCACATTATGGAGAAGAAAAACATATCTCACTGTCTTGATGTCTTCGAGTCTAGGCGTGTCTTGGGGAAAGGCACTGACATCTCTCTCGGAGCTGGGCTCCTTGGTGGTTCATATGCATTCACTCTTTCTTCACGAATCCTATTTATCACAGCCTCTGATGTAGATGATCCCATTCAAAATGGCTATTTTAGTACTCATAACACATGAGTATTTTAAGGTTATGAGACAAACGAGCTTGCAGATAGCATTAAGGCTTCAGATTAGCTCACCTTGAGATGGAGAAATTATCTGGGTGGGGGTGGATGTAATCCTTACAAGGGGCCTTAAAAGCAGAAGGAAGGGGAATACAGTAACACAATGTGAGCTGGGTTATTATTCCAGCAAGATGGAAGACAACAATTAGAGTCAGGGGGAGCCTCTAGAGGAGTGGTTCCCATTTACTAAATCTAACTTGCTTCATGCCACTAATTTGTAGCAACTTGTCATAAAATCTCCTGAGACTTATTTACAGTTCAGGTCAACTACTTAAACAGTTGCTTTCCTTCTCTTGGGTTCACCATATCTCATCCGTCCTCCACTTTCAGACTACTTCAGAGTTTTTCATTTCTACTCCCTGCCCCTAGAAGAAACTAGTACTTAAGTACTATTTGCTAACACGCAAAATAAACAAACAAACAAATAAAAAGTCCTTCTGATTCCTTAGTGTTCACCTTGTTCTGCTGTCAATTAACTAAGATATTGCATGTGACAGACCAGTAATTCTCACATTTGTTTTAGAAAGTACGTGGATGAAAAAAGTACGTAGATGATAGAGCCGAGATTATCCCCACTGTTCACAAATGTTTGTATATATTCTTCAAGTTTTGTACTGGAAGAGGTTGAAGACCACAGACGTATTACTGTTTCTCAAGCAAGTCTGGAGTTACTAATTCCTTTTTCTTTCTTTCTTTCTTTCTTTTTTTTTTTTTTGTTACTAATTTCAAAACGATCAAGAGAACATTTTTGCACTACAAACTCCCAAGCCTGAAGGATCAGATTTCCTGATGGCAGAGCGCTGGAAACTGTTATTTAAGAAGTTCTACGTGCGATTCCTTGTATGGGATCAGACAATTTGCCTCTAAACTACTTTTGCACGAAAACGAGTTAGAGACTAAGATCCTACCCTTGCGGGGTGGCTGAGGTGGGTGGGATCGAGGTGTTAGCGAGCGTCCCAGGGAAGACGAACCTGGGAAGCTGGCTTTCCAGCCTCGGGATCCTAGTCCCAGCAGCACACACAGCCAGCGGCACTGTCACGCAGAGAGTCCCACCGCCCTCGAGTCCCACGACCGGAATCCACGCCGTGGGCGCAGAGCGGACTGCAAACGCTGAAGTTTCCTGGTAAAGCTGCAAAAGGACAAGGACTGCAGACGCTGCAGCGGCCAGGGACAGCTGCTGAAGAACTGCAAACAGTGCTTTGGTCAGGGACGGCTGTGGACACCACCTCTCTAGGGGCGGGGAGCCTCTGGAGCTCGAGAAGGCGGAGTCGGGCGAGCTGGCCACGCCCCCTACAGTCGCGGGCTCTCGATTGGCTCTCCGACTCTCCCGGTCCCAACCATACCACTGCGCCGGAGCCTTAAGAGTGCTGCACCTCGGCCGACGGAAGTAGTTCGTCGGGCGGAAGCTTATCCACAGGAAGTAGCGGAAGTGCTTTCTCTTCCGGTCTCTTTGGCCTCGGCGGCAGAAGCAAGATGGTGAGTGTGGTGTTTGGGCTCTGTTAATCTCGTTCCATCCTTCTTCCCCGGGCTGCCCTGTGTGCTGCCGGTGCGTGGGTGACAAGATTCCTAGTAAGGGAAACTGTTGGGCCAGGACAGGGCGCGCGCGGTGGCCCGCAGGAGCCAGGGGAAAGGCCGCTCCGTGGCCGGCCGAGCCTTCAGTCCCAGCGCCGCCGTGGGTCTCCGAGGTTTGGGGGATCGTGCGCGTTGTTGCTCCCGGGGAGATGCTCAGGACGGGTTTAGGAACGTTCGGCTCAGAACACCGAGAAGCCGGAGGTGTTTCTTTGGAGCTGGGATTAGGCGCGGACACCTTTGGTCTAAAACCTTAACGCTTAAAATCAAGGAGATTGCAAAGCATTGACGCCCGTGCAGATCGTGTGAGTTACCGGCAGCGGTTTTTTTTTTTGAAAAGTTTCCGTGAGAAGAATTTAATGTTTTGCCCCATGTACTTGGTACATCGCGTCAGTAGGCATTTTCCGTGAAAATGCCAGAGTACGTCGAGAAATAGTCGGACTTCAAAATTGCTTATAAATGCTTTTACCGTGCAGACGAAAGGAACGTCATCCTTCGGAAAGCGTCGCAACAAGACGCACACGTTGTGCCGCCGCTGTGGCTCTAAGGCCTACCACCTTCAGAAGTCTACCTGTGGCAAATGCGGCTACCCTGCCAAGCGCAAGAGAAAGTGTAAGTTCCTTAATCTTCTGGCCGGTTTTGCCTTGAGCTGAGGTGGGCTAGAGAACCCCTTGCTGGGTGGTGTTGGTTGGTACAGAGAGAACGTTGGTGGCTGGTAAAGCACTGTAATGACACTTGAGACCGTTGGGTGCTTAGAAAAACCCTTTGGAATCCTGTTTTATTAGACAACTGGAGTGCCAAGGCGAAGAGACGAAACACTACCGGGACCGGGCGGATGAGGCACCTAAAAATTGTCTACCGAAGATTCAGGTACAGTTTTTGTTCCGATACCATTGGCTCTGGAGGGTGGGATATGAATCCTGTAACTTTCCGCTGGTGAATAGTGGGAATAATACCGTGGCCTGTTTTGGTTTGGGTTTTCCCCTTTAGAGTGTATCTGTGAACCACCCGAATTTGTCAAGACTTGTTCTATAAATGGGTCCGAAAGACTACTTACTTGCTTGGTTAACTCTTTTTGGTATTTTTTTTTTTATAAATATTTTTTATGTACGTTGGTGTTTTGCCATGAGTGTTGGGTCTCCTGGAAGTAGAATTACAGACAATTGTGAGCTGCCATGTGGTGGCTGGGAATTGAACCCGGGTCCTCTGGAAGAGCAGTCAGTGCTCTTAACCACTGAGCCATCTCCCCAGCCCCCTCTTTTTGGTATTTCGAGACAGGGTTTTGCTGTAGTTTTGGAGGCTGTCCTGGAACTAGCTCTTGTAGACCAGGCTGGCCTCGAACTCAGCCATCCGCCTGCCTCTGCTACCTAAACAAACCTCTTCTGAGTGCTAGTCCTCCTCATTTGTAAACCTAGATAGGGGTTTTGTTGTTTTTTGGTTTGTTTGTTTTTAGCCCTAGAACCGGGACCTTAATTTCCTTAAGAATACAGGATTCCCCTGCCCCATCTTAGACTTTGCTTCAGAATCTGTATAGAAACCTGCCCTGCTCACCTGGCTGCTCGTCCAAGGCAGTCTATTGTGGGGATTGCCCATAGGGAAAGTGAGGTTTGAGTGGTGGGGGCTTCTGGCTACAGTCTGCTGTAAGACCTGACTTGAGGATCACAAGGCAACAAGCAAGAGGATGTAGACAATTCCTGTGTTTGTATTTATACTGCATGGAGTTGTAACTTTGTGTGTAATGGTTTGCTGGTGTTTTGTGATTCGAGGCTATCTTCAGCCTGTTTAACCTTCCTGTGCTTCAGGTGGCTCATCTTAATGAAATGAGGTTCTTAGAAGCTACTCAGCCGGGCGGTGGTGGGTGCACGCCTTTAATACCAGCGCTCGGGAGGCAGAGGCAGGTGAATCTCTAAATTCGAGGCCAACCTGGTCTTAACGAGCTAGTTCCAGGACAGGCTCCAAAGCCACAGAGAAACCCTGTCTTGAAAAAAAAAGTCTTGGTTGAGCAGCTTCAAAGATGCTGTTTATCTGGTCATTCTTTTCCATCTATCTCTAAGGGAAGATTAGAGCCTGTCCTTTAGACCATAAGGACCTTGGTTCTTTTGAAAATTGGAGAAATGAGCCTTTCTGTTTGAATGAGTTCATTGTAATCTGATGTGGGTATCTTAAGTGGAATGAATGATGGCTTATCAGTGATGTTCTAAAAATAAATGTCTGAACTTATGAATGCTATATTGATTTCAGCATTTAACTGAGATAAGCTTATTACGGTTTAATCAAATTGAAAGTGATGTTGATATTGCTACAAACTTTTCTTTTTTCCTTTTTTAACGTTGCGCAGACATGGATTCCGTGAAGGGACAACCCCTAAACCCAAGAGGGCAGCTGTTGCAGCATCCAGTTCATCTTGAGGATTTCAATCTGTCATAAAATAAATGTTCTGGTTTCAAAATGATGTGTGGTGTGCTAAGGTATTTTAATGTCAGTTCAGTGTTTGATTTTATGATTACTTTGAGTTTTAGTAGTATGTGAAGAACTGGGCTTTCATACATAAGGTTAGTTCCTATGAGGCTGAAGTAGGGGCTGGATGAGTTCTCACTTGGGAAAGAGAATCTGAACCTGGGGACCCATCCTGTTTGCCTGGCATGGGCATAAGAAGTGGTGGGCCGGGTGAGGAGGCTTGCTAGGGAAAAGTTAACTGGAATGGTTATGTAAAATACCACAGCTGTGCAGCCTAAATTGTTAATCCCTACCATGCCTAGGGTATCTTAATGTGCTTGCAGTCTGAACGGGACTGAAATTACTGCGCAAGGCCCTCATGGATGGGGGCCATTTGTCCTAACCCTGCTTTTGAGCTCTTGATTCCTGGAGTTTCAGGTTTTAGCATTTACTTAGACCAAGCAAGACAGTGTTTGCCTTTATTCCCAGCTCTTGGAGACAAGTGCTGTTTACTTGTATGTAAGTTGTTAATCTAGGTGTTGGTCAGACTTTTTCCTAGTACATGAGACTGTACTCAAAGGTGCCAAATTCAAGGGCATGAAATTGCTTTTGACAATATATGGTTCATCGTGGTTGAACTCAACCTGTAAGCTTGTTAAAATTATGGTGTACTGTATGATTGCTAATGGTTAAAATACATAAATTCTAACAAAGGATCATCAGACATTGAGGCAGGTGGGCGCTAAACTGGGTATCTGGGCTTGAGTGAGTCAAGAAATGAAAGGGATAGCACAGAGTCCCAAGGAGGTGCTAGAATAAAAGCCGTTATGAAGGTAAGTTCGTCTCTGAACTAATG